GGGAAAACTCTTAAAAAAATACATGTTTCTCTGATTATTGGTAACATCATTTTCCAGTTCAGTCAACCTGGAAATCTCGGTTATTTTTTAGAGGAATGATATGTCGTGGTGAACTATGGATCCTTTGGAGTTTGACTGAATGGGCTCAGATAACTTGCTATTTTCTAGTTATTTAACCTGGGACAATTTACTTAGTTAATTCTGCCTCAGTTTCTATTGTGCAAATGGGGATGACATTAGCGTCTACTGCTCACGGTTGTTTCAAGTTAAATAATAAATGTAAATCATTTAAAACAGAGCCAAGTACATAGTAAATGCTACACAAGTGTTAATTACTATTATTACTCCCTGACCTATTGCCTTCAAAATCTCACCCACATCTATTCCTTTCTCTCCATTCCCACTGCTATGACCTAGGTCTCACCTTCATTCCTTCATTCTTATAGTGCTACATTTTCCTATAAATTGTTCTTGACTACGACTGGAATCCTTCGTGAAGACAACACCAGATTAATATTCAAATAAGAAACTTTAGTTCACAGGATTGGCCTTACAAAATATTCTCTTTGTTTTGTCAATTGCCTAGTAAATTCAAATTTCTTATTCTGATGATCAGTATTTCCTACAAACTAGCTCCAGCCTTATTTTCCAGCGTTTTCTGTTTTCAGTCCAAGACAAGAAACTTATTCTGTTATCAAACTAATTAACTGACCATTCATTGAATGTGAAGTATACCTTTTCACCTCTAACCCTGGATATGTCATTTCCTTGATTTTTCTGTTAATATTTTCCACCTGCATAAAGATCTAGCACAAATGTAATCTCCACGGTGAAACCTTGAATGAATGCAGTTTAGAATTGTATCTTCTTTCTTAAATCTCCTCTAATGCTTTATTTTTCATATATATGTATACATTTATATAACATTATTTCTCAAATTATTTGAAATGACTTTATTAATTTGACTAGTTTAGACTATTTTGATGATATCATAACCTAATACCACATCCTCTGCTTTATTTAGGCCTGGGCATATCTTATCTCCTCAAATTGAAGAAAGAATTTTCTTGAAAGTCATTTTTGTCTCTCCCTCCCACCTGCTCTCATACTTAACCAACACAGTGCCTCTCATATTATGGCAGCATGTGATAAGTGTTTATTGAATTGAGTGAAATAGAATTATTAAATGTAATCACTAGCTTTGTCTTTCAGAGATCAACTCTGGAAATTGAAAGTAGAAGAATTCCATAAGTCCTTCAGGCTCAAAACCAAGAGTAGTGTGAGAACAACCAAAGACTTGACCCATTCATTTTTAGAGCAATAATATTTTGTATACTAGTAAGTTTGAAAATATCCCTGAGGTAAAATGTTGCTAATGGCTTGTTTCAAGAAGTGATGTGTAAAGGGACTGGGATTGATGGATGACTGAAATGGAAGAAGATGAAGATCACCAAAGAGTGAAAGGGAAAGTATCAGTGTGGCTGGTGTGTTGTTAAGGATGTCCCTGAGTTTGGACACACCTGAAAATGATGACTAGGGAGGAGAATGATTAAGTCAAGCTGGACTCTTCAAACCTCTCAGCATTGCATGAAGTGGCTGGAGAACTGCAAGAAAAAGGTGTGTTCAGTCTCTTCAGATCCTAAGAAGTAAGATTAACAGAAGCATAAGATATGATCTCTGGCCTTAGGGAAGATACTTTGGTATTTTTCAAGTTTTCTGTACTCAAACAGCACTTTTTTCAAGGTAATGAGTTTTGGGTTGCTGAGTGGTCCTACCAACACTTAATATAAAGCAATTGTCATTTATTTAGTTGAAATTCAAGTATCAACTACTTATTTACTAAAGAATTAATATCTATGATCTGAGGTTTGAGAGTAAGGTTTTTAGGCAAATAAAAGAAAGATCAGTCACTGAATTTCAGTGCTCAACATCAGATTAAGAGGATAAAGAAAAGAAGCTTTAGAATTAGATCAACCTCTAAAAAAAATGGGTGGAAGATTCAAATTAGACATTTTTCCACAGAAGACATACAGATGGTCAACAAACACATGAAATGTGCTCAACATCACTAATCATCAGGGAAATGCAAATCAAAACGGCAATGAGATATTACCTCACACATATTAGAATGGCTATTGTCAAAAAGACAAGAAATAACAAATGTTGGTGAGGATCTGGAGAAAAGGAAACCTTTGTGCACGGTTGGTGGGAATGTAAATTGGTGCAAACACTGTGGAAAATAGTATGGAAGGTCCTCAAAAAATTACAAATAGAACTACCACATGCTCCAGCAATTCCATTTCAAGGTGTTTATCACAAGAAAATGAAAACACTAACTTGAAAAGATATATGTGCCCCCATGTTCACGGCAGCATTATTTACAATGATCAAGATATGGAAACAACCTAAGTGTCCACTAATGGGTGAATGGATGAAGAAGATGTATATATATGCACAATGGAATACTATTTGGCTGTGAAAAAGAATGGAAGCTTGCCATTTGCAACAACATGAACAGACCTTGAGGGCATTATGCTAAATTAAATAAGTTAGACAGAGAAAGCTAAATACCATATGATCTCATTTACATGTGGAATTTAAAAACAAACAAAAACCCCAAGCTCACAGATGCAGAGAACAGATTGGTGGTTGCTAAAGGAGAGGGTGAAGGGTGGGTGAAACGGGTGATGGGGGTCAAAAGTACAAACTTCCAGTTATAAAATAAAAAGTCATGGGGATGTGATGTACAGCATGGTGACTATAATTAATAATATTGTATTGCATATTTGATAGTTGCTAAGAGAGTAGATGTTAAAAGTCCTTATCACAAGAAGAAAAATGTATAAGGATATGTGGTTACAGATGTTAACTAGACTTACTGTGATCATTTTGCAATATATACAAATATTGAATCATGTTGTACACCTGAAACTAACACAATGTTTATGTCAATTATGCTTCAATAGAAAGTTAGATAAACCTCAAGCTTCATTCCCATGAATGATAGATTTAAACTTTCTGTGGTGCATTTTCCTCACATGAAAATTAAGATAATATCATATCTACCTCATGATATTATTGCTTACATTAACTTAGATGTTGAATGCAAAGTGCATGGGATAGGGTCGATACTTAATATGTATTTTTTCTTGTCCACATCCCTTCAATTTCCATGAATCGTTTAACAAAACATTGGGTGAGATTGTTCCTCCAAATTATTTGACAATCATTTTAACAATTCTCTTTATTCTGTATCTATAAGTTTGCCTGGCTTCCTTCAAAACAAGCATTTCAGATTCCACAAGCACACAACTTCCCCCTCTTTTCTCCAAAAAGCACACAAACACACTTTCAGTCTAGATTTGCTATCACCACATAATAGGATATACATATTGTTTGACTAAATAGTTTGTTTCTTCACTAAGAGTTCAAAGGAGGAAAAGTATCTACTAAGAGCATCTTGATTTGTGTATGAAGAAACCTGAAGTTTAGTTTCTTTTTGAGCATGTCAATCAACAGTATTCACTGAGTACCTTTGTTGTATATTTTATATGACGTGATCATGAAGTTATGATGCTTATTAACAAACATACTTGAATTGAAATATCCAAATGAATCAATTCCAATTTAATAACCGTGAACATTTATCGAGCATTAACTATGTAGATGGAATTGTGCTATAGCTTACATGTATTAACTCACCACAAATTCAGCAGTTCCTAATCTGATATCCATTTTAAAGAGACATTTTAAAGTAATTCAAAGTCACACAGCTAAAAAGAGATAAATCCAGAATTTAAACCCAGGAAGTCTGAATCCAGAGTCAAAATTCTTAAAACACTACACTATGTCACCTGTTTGTTTGTTTTTTTTAAGTAGTTATACTGGGAGACAATGTACAAACATCAATACTGCCATAATTGCCTCTACATTTTTTGGAAATTTTAATTTAGAATTGTCCTCCAGATTATCGCAATTCATCAAACAAGGAATGTGAGCATGCAGAGGCTAGGACTCTATGATTCTATGGTTCCTTCCAACTTTAAAATGATAATATAAGAGCACTTGCTTTTTTTTAATAAATGAAAGATGACTTTTAGAGAATTTCAGAACTCTAATTCTAAACACTTTTCATCAAAGAATAATTTAGGTGATTCATTAACTTTCTTTCAGAATCCACATTTTCACTTATTTCCTACTAGTTCAAAGCCATCCAAGTCAGGAATTGAAAGCATCATTTGAAATGGAAGCAATGACATGACAGACGATACAGAAAAAAAAAATTGCAACATTTCCGTGATACTGCTTAAGCAAAACAAAAATCCAAAGAAATAATTAGAACATGTTTGTATTCTTATTAAATATTAAATAAATATTTAAATATTCAGGCTCTTAAATAAAATTAACTTTTTCTAAGTTGTTGGTGAAGGTAATATTTCTTGAAAAGCTGTGTGTTTTGATCAAAGCCCAGGTCTTCACTTTGATTAGATATTGAGCAAGTTATTAAAACTTCTTGGATCTCAGTTTTCTCATTTATAAAATGGGAATAAAAATAGTAATATTAAAATATTTTGGGGAGAATTAGGACAAAATATATAAATGCCTGATACACAGCAAATCTTAATCCTCAGCAAATCCAAATATTTAATTCTGTACTCCTATTTAAAATTTCCATAGCAACACTGGCTAATAACACTAATTTTTCTTCATGCTTGTCAACTTATGATCAAAAGGAAAAAAAACTCAAATAAAAAGTGATAAATATTATGTACCATTTATATACATAGAACAAGTGTAAAATCAGTCATTAGAAATCTTGAAATTATACAACTTAATTCAGACTAGCAAATAGCTCAAATCTTTATCTTTTATATACATTTTTCCTCAGTATTCACAAATATAAAGAACTGTAAATAGAAATGTATTCTTTCATGACTGTCTGCCAAATTTATTCAGCATGACTGCAATTGAGTGGAAAAATGAAAATACATATTACTTACTGTATGTGGCACTTGGTAATTTCAAAATGATTTGCAAACATTCATCCTCAAAATACTCCTACAAAGTGCATCTGGGAAAAGAAAGAAATGCAAAAGAGTAAGCAATTTGCCAAGGTCACAGAAAAACTAATCCAGAACAACACTCACTTAGACACCACATATTTTAACATACCGAAATGAGCTTTTGTAAAATATAGATTATACATACAGTATATTATAATGGGCTGATGAACAGAAATGTTCCCAACTATATGCAAACATTCTACACATCAGTCAAGGAGGACACTCTTAAGATGAATCTGCACATTGGCTTCCAAAATACATGCAAGAAACACAGGCCCCCAGAACAAGCCAGAATAACATAAAAGCAATTCAAAAATGAGATATTTATAAGTAAATTTTAGTTGGAGATTTTAGGTGGCTATTACATAATTCAAGTTTTGCAAATGTACTTTTGTCTAATATATGAAGATCACTGAGTTGGAGGAGAATTTTGCTTGATTTATCCAGAGAATTACACCAATTCACTTTGTAACTGCGTTTCAATTCTAATTGAAAACCATGTACTGAGAAAAATGCAGGCATGCCACTTGCACACCTCACAAAAATAGACAAACATTCATTTCTTTTTTTTTCAGAAGGCCAGTTATAAGGAGAAAGTTATTTAATCAGATTTCATTAATTAATGTGTTTGTTTTAGGGGAGGGGTGTTAGGGAAAGCACAGTAATTTCAAAGTGCAAAATATTTCAGCTTAAGTGAATTTTATGCTTCTGGGTATACTGTTTTATAAAAGAACTGTTCAAATGAAACAAAACAAAACACAACCTAATGATAATTAAAGTAACCCTTCAAAGTACCACATGTTGTTTCAGGCAGATTAAACACACTATGGACAATACAAAGTAGCAAGCATCTTTAGAGAGACATTAGTTTTCAGCAACCAGCAGAATTTCCGCCCAGATATTTAGTTGTTTATAGGACTAAGCAGAAATACTAGCTTACCAAATCAACAGTTCAACAGCAGAACAGGCATTCTGAGTCGAACGTCTAATTGATTTATCTTCCTCTAGTGTGTGAAAGACAACAGGATGGCACTGGCCTCTACCTGGTACAGGAATGAATGATTTTACTAACCCTCAACAGAGAGTTTCTCAAAAGGAGGAAACCACAGATAGTTAGCGAATTTATAGTTAAAGGTCAAAAGTAAGTCAAAAAGTTTTTAAGAAACCATGTATTTTTATAAATTTCATTTTTCTAAGTTTAAAACTCAGAGATTAATAGAAGATACAAACTCATGTCCACATATAATTTCAATAGAATTATAAAGTTATAACAATTAGCAGATCTGTGTATTTCTTCATGCTTTTAGCATAGTCATCCTCTTAGGCAAGAGAACTGAAGTTAACACTAATTCCATGACTTGCCCAATTTGACACAGCTAATAGGGGTGATCCTGGACTCAGAGCCAGCTTTTCCGACCCCAGTTTCTTCCACTACAACACCTACTAGTCCCTACACCTCATGCAGGGCAGAAGTTGCAAACTGGGGCATGTTAAAAAATATTCAAAAGCAAGAGATTTCTCATAAGAGTTCTAGTTTCTTTTTTTTTTTTTTTTTTGAAAGAGCAAAGATATCTTAAGGCTGGGTTCGCAGCTTCCAGAGAGCAGAGAAATGGTTGCCAGTCTCACATGGGACATGCCTCCTGCACTCATCTAATTCCTACTTTTGCAAATTGTCTTCTACTCTGCAGTTGTCAAGCACCAGAGTTTTGCTCCTGATCCAAAAAACCCCTTTACCTACCAACTACAATCAGAACTCTTTGCTGTGAAACAGGAAGAATAATATTAATTATCCTCCAAGAGCATATTTCATTAGTTGAAGTGACTGCTTCTAACTACATTTCACTATACTCTCCTAATCAGGTGTTATTGATTACCATATTTTAACCTACATATACATTTTAAAATGTCATGGGCTTGAATTTCCAGGCATTTAAATATATATTTGATAATTTTTAAAGCTAAAGGAGAAATTCAAAAACACAGTTGACTGGTACACAGTCATAAGCATTAATCATCTCAAATCATGATTTTTCATTTACAATGGACACATCTTTCAGAGAGATACCTCCTGGGGTGATAGGTGTACTATTTGACAAAATAATTATAATGATAAAGAAAAAACCTTTAATTTAATTAAATAAACTAGATTAAGAGAACAGTGACCACTAAAGGTAAAGCCATGCAGCCCACACATACTGGTTACATTATGGCGTATTGCCAAAAACTTAAATATCAATATGTTTTGTAGAATGCTTAAAAAATATGGACCTGTAATTTGGGATAATTGTAATAGCAGTCATCTAAATCTGAAACTCTTCACACACTGTAAAATATACAGCCAACAAAAACAAACAAAAACACACAAATCCTAGGCCTTCAGCATAACTGGAAGTTGGAGGATAATAAAAATGTCAGATTACCTGTAAACAGAAAATTAAACACCAATTTCTAACAGAGCTATCTTTCAAGCTCCCACTATATGTATTACAGTGATCTACCTAAAGGGTCTAGAAACTGAGGGAGAGAGAAGAAGAAAACAAAGGTCCTAAGAGTGACACAAAATTCACTCTCAGAAAGTCCACTGAGACTGTGAAAATGTTGAAAAATTATCCTGACAAATTATAACGTGAACACAGGGAGAAGACTTAAAAGTATACGGAATTCAAGGTGACAACATTTTTTTTCTTGGGGAGGAATAAGGCATTTTAAAATGATGGGGCTAAGTCAAAAGGACTTAGGCCCCAGCTCCAAGAAATTCTCAAAAGTCAAATCTGGGACAATTGGAAAATCAGAATAAATAATTATAAAGAATTAAACTTCATTACAGAATATAAATAAAAGAAAGTATATAAGGAAGAATTGGAAAACTCTTCCCTTCTGTAGAACATACCTTGGAGTTAGAAAACCACCACTAAGCACACATTATAGTTAACTGATTTAGTCAAGAAAACACCTGCGGATCAACACTCATGGGTGAAAGTGTGTTGACAAACAAGAAATTTCCATAGTCTTGAAGTACCTTCCCCAAATCACTTACTAATTACAATGGAGAAAACAATGGAGAAACTTGGCAGAGATCACCTTAACTAAATGATCGAAGACAACATCATCAAAATGGCACAAACACACATGACAAGTCTCCAAGCATGATACCCTTGAGGACACATCACTTCTGTGATATGTCTGCCAAAAATGTATGAACTGAATCAATAATTAGGAAATACCAGGAAAACCCAACTTGATGAAAGTCTAAAAATATCTGGCCTGAACTCTTCAAAGTCATTAAAAACTGAAGAAATGTTCCAGATTGAAGGAATTTTTAAAAAGACATGACAACCAAATGCACATGTGATCCTAGATGCACCGTGAGTTACATAATAGTATTTTGTTAAAAATTATATTCTTAATTTTTACAACTGTACTGTGGTTATATAGGAAAATGTCCTTATCCTTAGGAAATACACACTAAAGTACTTCAAGTAAAGAAGCATGTTGCATGTAACTTATTCTCAAAGGATTCACGGAAACATTATATATATGTACATATATACATACGTATATGTATATATAATTATGTAATTATACAATGCATATCTATATCTATATCTATATATACGCATATATGGAGAGAGAAAGAGCAAGCAGAAATAATAAAGCACAAGGGGTAAAATGTAAATAACTAATGAATCTGGACAGAGAGTATTCAGGGTTCTGAAGTATAATAATTACAATTTTCTGTATGTTGGAAGCTATATAAAAATTTTAAATTAGAGGCAATAGGTAGACATAAATAAATGTCTTACTTTCATTGACATTTTTGGGATCACAGAAAAATAGCCAAAGAGATAATCAATGACGTGTTTTTAAATTAAGGAAAAAAATTAAGAAGTTAAAAAACAAATCAGAATCATTGCTCGATGTTTTTGGACAACTAAAATAACAAAAATCCAGATATATATACACATTCTCCTGCATTTTATATATTATATATAATTCATATATTAAATATGCATATATTCAAATCAGATGTATTTTTAATAACATATATTTATATATGCATATTAAATTCATAAAATAAAGGAGAATGAAAGTAAATATGGAATTTAGCTTTGGGTTTTTAAATAAACCATACAAATAATATTAAGTCAGTGAATTCAGCAACGTAAAGTTAAATAATAAAGTGATATGCATAAATAAAAGTGTTCAGCAATTAAAGGAAAAAAAAAGATTATCAAACAGTCCTTGAAGGTCATCAGTATAAGTGTTTCTTCCTTATATAACTGTTTTTCTAAATCAAAATTACCAACTTCTGTCTTTTTCAAATTCAGGAAAAAAAAGAAACATAAAAAAATAAAAATCGCCCTTAATTCCTAAAACAATATATTTCATTTCAAACAATATATTTACTGTCTTTATTTCCAAACCATTATTTAAAGAATTATACAATATAAACGCATAATTAGATTCTTTTTTTTTACTCTATTGTGAATTTCATTCCGTGACAACATTATGTTTGTTTATCGATACAATGCAAAATTATTTCACTGATTGGTATCCCATAGATGTCATCATTGATTTAATATTTTTTATCTATAACTTGTTAGCAAGTATCAGTTACCAAAAAATAAAAAACACTGCAAACGTCTTTCTGAATGTATCTTCTGCCATAGCATGATTGTTTCCTCAGGATAAAATACCCAGAAGGGAAATTGCTGGATCAAATAGCATGAGGCTGTTAAAATTTGCTCAACTATATTTTATTAACACAGATGCACAAAATTTTCATATTTGAACAACCCCACAATCAGTTTAAATTTTACAGTCACTGCAGCCATTTGCAGTTGTGACACAGTATTTTTTGCGTGTTTGTGTCCTGATTTGGCCCTAGTTCTTCATATTGTCATGTCTTGAATTGAGTTTTATGCATTCTTTGTGTTACAAGTGTTGAGTTCACCTATTAAAATGTCTACAAAGAGGTTAGTCAAAAATTTGACCTTGAAATAAAAAATTGTTCGTATGGAAAAGCATGGAAACAGAGGAGTTTTAGTAAAATAGTTATTTATTTTTGGAGGAATTAACACTTCCTATTTTCTTAGGAAGCAACAGTTGAGATTTTACTGGACCTAAGGAAGAAAATAGATGAAGATATGTTAGTCTTGTAACTGAGAACATACAAGAGGATTGATTACTACATGACGAGTGAAGCAAGCAAAGACAGAAAACACTACAGAGCCCCCTGAATAATCCAAGCCCCTCTACCAAGTCTCATTTCTAATTTATAGCAACAATGCATCAGTATGTCTAGATACTACCATTTACATTTTATTATGTTAGATATTAGCATTTTAAGTGCCACTTTAATTGATAGTTTTCATCAGTCTTCAAGTTACTTTAGCCACCTTTCCTTTTTCCTATATTTACTTTGTATTCTTGCAAATTCACACAGACTTAGCAACTTTCCTAGTCTGTAGAATCCATATTTTGTATTATTAAGTTCTGGAGATTAATACAAATATTATTCAGTATAAGCACCCAATCAACCCTTCTGGAGTCTCAGTTGGTCTGCCCTGGCAGGTCACTGATGCAATAACACATAACAAACCATGACTCCCTTTACCCAAGACTACATTTTCTTTACTGGTTGATGAGAATGTCATATGAGATAAAAACTAAACCTTACTGAAATGAAGATATATGAACTCTTTTGCTTCCCCTCATATTTAAGTCCTGTCATTGTGTCAGATAATAAAATTAGATGAACTTGCAATGACTTACTTCTTTTAAAGCCATGTTGGTTGTTACCCCCGTTTGTTCTGCTCTTCGAGGTGTATGAAAAATGTCTTTTTGATTTATTCTACTTTCCTAGATATCAAAGCAAGCTGATGAATCTGTAACTTCTAAAGTCATCATTGTGTTCTCTCTCTCTCCCTCCCCATTTTCATTTGGCATTCAAGAACCCTAAGTCAACTCCTTGTACACTTTCTATTGTAAATACGGCTTGGTAATAATCCTATGATAATTTCTATCATGAACAGCATGCCGAATCAGGATCTCCTCAACATTGCATTTAAAAATGTAATTCTCCTGAAGTCCATTAGCCAATTTAAGTCACTGCATAATTCCATATCGGGTTCAAACAGCAG